GGACGGGGCGCTGCAGGAAAGGACGGGGCGCTGCAGGAAAGGACGGGGTGCTGCAGGAAAGGCTGGGGCGCTGCAGGAAAGGCTGGGGCGCTGCAGGAAAGGACGGGGCGCTGCAGGAAAGGACGGGGTGCTGCAGGAAAGGACGGGGTGCTGCAGGAAAGGATGGGGCGCTGCAGGAAAGGCCGGGGTGCTGCAGGAAAGGCCGGGGCGCTGCAGGAAAGGACGGGACGCTGCAGGAAAGGACGGGGTGCTGCAGGAAAGGCTGGGGTGCCGCAGGAAAGGACGGGGTGCCGCAGGAAAGGCCGGGGTGCTGCAGGAAAGGACGGGGCGCCGCAGGAAAGGCTGGGGCGCTGCAGGAAAGGCTGGGGTGCTGCAGGAAAGGACGGGGCGCCGCAGGAAAGGCTGGGGCGCTGCAGGAAAGGCCGGGGTGCTGCAGGAAGGGCCGGGATGCTGCAGGAAAGGCCAGGGCGCTACGATGTGGCGCAGTTGCAGCATGCTTTGTGGGCAGCCAGTTGCAGAAGCTGCAGCAATTGCAGACTCTTGGGATTCTTCATAAGAAACCCAGTTCCTTCCCTCTGCTTGTTATTGAGCATCAAGTGCCTGATGAGAGAGGGATTTGGGGAAAAGACAACGCRGAGATATCTAATACAAAATGATTAGCCAGAATGTATTGTTAATAAGCTGCTTATTTGTATAATTGGAAACTCTTTGCAGCCTGGGCGTCTGTAGAGCCTCTCTGCAGCGCTCTGATGCAGTGAGGACACCGCCAGGAGTGGGTCCCCACGGGCAGGAGCCCCGCACGTCCCAGCGCCGCTGGCCTGAAGGGCAGAGAAGGGGAGCTGGAAGGAACCCACCGAGTGCCACTGCTCCTTGTGCAGCTTGGCGACAACAAGGGGGCTTGTCTGGAGAGCGGGTGGACGGACAGTGTCCTTGCAAGGACCAGGATGAAAGTGAGCAAAGAGAGCGCAGAGACAAGACAGGTGGGAGCCATCGCCTGCCTGGGCGTGCACAGATACTGCGCCACCCACATCTTGCCTTCCCTCATCTGCACTGCGGTTGAACTCAGGCCYGAGAAGCATCACGGCTTAGCTTGAGCCACATGGACGTTCATGTGCTTCTCCATCTRAAACTTTTTGCTATTTTCCGATGCCAAGGGCTAACTGATTTTAATGATTTTGCTAAGGTCAGTGTAAAGCTGTCTCACTGAGTCTCTCCCAGGAGTCTCCCACRGACTGCACCAGAAATGTGCAGGACAGAACGGTGAAGTGGGGCTTCTGCTGATGTAAAAAGGAGAAGCAACTCACTTCCCCCTGCACTCTATCTATATTGATACTATCATCTACTGTGAACTAGGCCAGCTCTACTGATAAGGACAATTAAATTACACAAGCACTGATTTGGCTGTAAAGAAGCAGGAAGGATTTCTGTGCTGAGCCAAGGGGTAGGCACTAAGACACTAAGCTCTGTCACTTCCTCCTGCAGTGCCAGTGTGAGGCAGGGGGATACAGAGAGCAGACACTACTTCTGCATCCTGCCTTCGACACAGCCCCTTCTCTGAGCCCCCGGACACCCATGGAGCTGCGATTCCTCCTGCTTCTGCTCTGCTGTTACTCAGGTAAGAGAAAGGGGGGCCAAGAAGCAAGGGGAGTCAGGTACAATAATTCTCCGGCATTTTTCTAAGGTTTTGCACAGGATGATATTCCAGCACTGGGAGAGGAATTTTCTGAATGTTTTTACTAGGAGGAGGAGGTCAGGGCAGGCACTGAAGAAGGCTTCATCTGACCCAACCTTTCCCTACCCCTTCTGGTTCCGGGGCTGTCTGGGGCTCACAGGAGTGAGCCCTTACCTGCTCCCAGCTCCTCTTACACTGCTTGGCTTTGGCATTTTCCAGGACTCCAAGCCCAGATGAGTGATCCTGAGGAGAACAGACTGGAAGGAGAGGCTCTCTCCTTCCAGTGCCATTACAAAGCACAACTTGACAGGCATAGCTCCAAAATCTTCTGCAAACTCATAAAAGGAAGATGCTAGCCACTGGTCCAGACCACTCAAGGACCAGCRGGCAGGTATATACACAAGGTAACCTCAGGAAAATTTAGGATAGAAGATAACACCACCGAGGGGGTTGTAACCCTCACCATTAAGGAGCTCAARGAGCAGGACTCAGGACAGTACATGTGCGTGCAGTCTTCTGATGTCGACACCCTGCTTCTCATGAAAAAGATCAAACTGAATGTTTTCAAAGGTAAGTACATTCCTTTGCATTTGAACTCAAGTCTTKTTGTATTAAGACATCATTCCTTCCTCCACTCCACCTTTCCTGCCTTTCTTGCTCTCAAACTGGTTCCCTCCAGGTGCCCTTTTCCCTAAACCTTTTAAACCTCTGTCTGTTTCCAAGAGTGAGTATGTCTGTACGAAAAAAATGTGCTTTTCTTTTTTGTAAATATCTGCTMTACTTTCTCCGTCTGCCTTTTTTTCCTTTCTCAGGGTTCCTTCTCCCAGGTTACAGATGAATCACAAAAATACTCACAATGATCACATCAAAGCTCCCCAGAGTAGAGTATCTTGCCTCCTAGTTCAGTATGTTGCCTCCAACAYTGGCCAAAGCAGCTAAGTAGTGAGGAGTATTTCTGTGATAACAGCAATGGCTGTTTTTTAACTCTGTAAGTCACCCACTGATTCTGCTAACACAGGAAAACTTCTGGTGAGCAATCATCATGCAGCAGGGAGCTCCACACCTTATGCATTCCTGGAGAATTTCCCCTTTTCCCTGTCTCTCTCAGCTGCTCTCTCCTCCTTAGAACAGAGTGTGAATTGCTGTTCCTGCTCTCCCTGCTATTCCTGACTTTATTGACTTCTTGWACATCACTCCTATGTCACTTCCAGAATAGAAAGCTACTTTAGTYATGCACTGCACATACGTGCTCCTGATCTTTGTCTTGGTTGTTCTCTTAGTTTTGACTCAGCTTATTAATTCAGACCAAAGAGTAWTAATACTTCTATTACAACAAGCTTTGCTTTGTTTCGGGACACCATTATATATTATCTTTTCTCAGAAGACAGCATATTTTGGATGTTTCTTTTTCACCCAGCACTCCAGTTGAATGTAACCCAGCCCAGCTAAAGTGCMTGTAAACTGGATTATAATATTGTGCCTATTCCAGTTATGGGAAACTGATGTAATAGGGCTTGTTAGTTGGATCTTACTGACCAGTTCTGACCTTTTCCAGAGACCCAAGGATACATAATTAAGGAGATGCAGACTTTCTCTGCTGTATGYCCATATAACTCAGGAGATTACAGGGCTGTACAGAAAGCCTGGTGCAAAAAGACAACTGGGAAAGACTGTGTTGTCTTGGTAAGTACAGAAAAGACAAACGGTCAGGATATCAGTAAAGCTCAGACAGGAAGATACAGCCCGAAGGATGACACCCAGAGGGGACTTCTCAGCATCACCATGGAGCAGCTCGTSGTACCAGACAGCAGGGAGTACTGGTGTGCCATTTACAATAACCTGCATCTCTTGCGAATAATGAAAATCAAGCTGCTTGTTTTCACAAGTGAGTATTTTTTTCATAGGAGAAACTAATTTCTCCCCCTTTCCTTTGCAGCAGAACTGCCTTCCCAGGCATGTTGTCCCACTGCTGTCTCCTCTCAGTACTCTGCACGGTCCCCACGCCACCTCAGCAGCTACACTTGGTGTCCAGACTGTTCTGCTTTGTCTCCTGTTGCTGACAAAGGCCAATCCCTCCTCTGCATGTGCTTTATTGGCAGGCGAAGCACCAAACACTCTTCCTCCTGCTTATGCAAATACTCCCTTTAACTCCTCAGAAACAATAAGCCCCAGCAAGGAGGAAGGGCTGCAGTGGAACAGGTGAGTTGTCCTCCAGTGTCCCCCAAAGGGCACACTCTGGGCTGGGCACACGGGCTAGAGGAGGGCACGTTTTGCCAGGGCTCATCCTCTCTTCCGCCAAGCAGAATCTCCGGATTCTTAGTGGGAACCAAGACTTCTGAAATCCGCGGACGCCAATATCATTTTCAGAGACCAGCTCCCATTCTCTGTCCTCTTCACTAGCACAAATGTGATGTAAATACACTTCTTTTACCAATTCCTTATGGGGATTTYTATACTTCAAAAGCAAGTTCCAGTATACAAAATCTATAGTTGGGAGAGCTGTAAATCTGTGATACGGCTAAACTGGCATCGGTCCAGYGATGCTTGGGACAGATTTATGTTCCATTTTGAATTCACTCAGAATCTCACCCTGAATACCAATTCCAGAAGGATTCTCCATGTGCACAAGGAAAAATCTCAYGTCCTTTGAGATCCTTACCCTTAYTGTGGACACCCTCCATCTCGCCAGGCCAATTCTGCTTCCCTTTTTTTATCCCATGTCTTTCACTCATTTCATCACTTGTTTGCTTGCTGGCTAGGTTGCAGATCATCCTTTGGTTGGCCATTGGAATCGTGACCAACAAGATCCTGGCGATGGTGATCCTAGCGCTCCTCATGAGAAGGAGGAACTCCAGGAAGGAGGTATCTGGACCACAGGAAGCAGCAAAGTCATGGTGCAAAAGAACAAATCCTATCAGGAGTGCGGTTCCCCCTTCCCCATGTCTCTGGGCTGCTGAGCCTGATGCGACGGTCTATGAGCAGGCCGGGTATTAGCTGCGCTCCCCCTGCTGCTCCACAGCAGCCCATCTCGTTGGAAGTTCCCTCCTGTTACTACTCAGAAATAAGGTTTTTCCCTAGGAGAAGATGTCCCTCCCACAGCCCAAATACTGCCTAGTGAAGGGCTCCCTTTCCCACRGCTCTGCTCCCAGTCTCTRTGACCAGGCAACTCGAGTCCTGCTCCAGGAGTGTCGATAATGCCATAAAGCACAGGAAGGAGTTTTCCTCCCTTCAGGAAACAGCTCCTTCCCGGCAYGCTGCAACRTCCTGAAAGGCTTCCCTGTCCTAMCTTTCAGGGCAGGAGATACGAGAACAGGAGGAAACTCTGAGAAGAGCTGCGGGACACCCTGTACCAAGAGCCTCCCTGGGCCCTGCCTCCAAGAGGTCGTGTTCACCGATCTGCAGCAGAAGCTGCTGCCCTCTGCCAGCCCTTGCGGCCTTCCCGCACGGAGACAGYGAAGCCGGYGCTGACGGAGTGGAGCACCCGCCTCCTCCTGCTTCCCTTTCCGCTCCTTTTCCTCGTGCTCTTTCCTCCTTTCCTTCTCCAGCCCTGCCRGCAGCCCCGCATCCTCACGCGCTCTCGGCAGAGGAGGCCCCGGGCCGCGYGGCCGCTGTGCGCGGCGCCTGCCATCCTCGGTGGCCGCCAGGAGGAAGCAGTGGCCGCCTGTGCCCGCGTGCAGCCCAGYCGCTCCACACGGCTCTGCGGCACTGCTGCCACCGCGCAAATAAAGCCTGCCGAAGCCCAGTGGTTCTGCTCTGGTTCCTGCAGCCGGAGGCTCTGGGAGGCTCCGTGACGGGCACAGCCCAAGGCACGAGGGCACTGGCCGCTGCTGTCACTGCACGCGGCACAGCCAGYACCAGGGCCCTGCAGCTGCACCCCGGCCTCCCTGGTCTCAGCAGCCCCAGGGCCCTTCGGGGGCTCCCAGAGAGCAGCTTGGCCGGGCCAAGGGGCCAGCGCCATCTCTTGTGGCTCAGGATAGGGGAGGGACAGCCCCGCTCCCGCTGGTATTGGGGGGCAGCGTGACGGTGCCACGGGGAGCAGCGCAGGCCCCTCCCGGGAGGCCGGGCTCAGCCACTTCCCCAAAAGCAGCGCAAACCAACCCAGCTCTCAATCTTGTTGCAAAACATGGTGAAGGATTTCCGCGCACAGGCAAGAGCTCGGCCATTTCCTCCAGTGGATGCAGGAGCAGAGGCGGCCCTGGCGGGCACCGTGGGCAGCCCCCGGATATGCCCCTTCCCTGGCCTTGAGCAAGGCCATGGAGCTCAGAGTCTTCCTCCTCCTCCTCCTCCTGCTGCCGCTCTGCTGCCCAGGTAAGAGAGGGGCTGGCGCTTCCCGGTGCAGCCTGGAGCAGCGGGAGCCGGGCAGGCTGTGGGAATGTCCTCCCGGGAGCGCTCTGAGCTGGGCAGTTCCCTGCAGGGATGCAGGGCAAGGCCGCAGCCCCAGTGCCCACAGCTCCACCCTCCGCTGCAGCCCGAGGGGGACACTGAGCGGCTGCCTCCGTGTGGCCTCCCTTGCCTTCCCTGCCRGCATYCCCYTGGAGCGGCCGTCYCCCTCCGCTGCTCCCAGCACCGGGGCTGCTGCACAGCCCGGTCGGGTCGGGACAGGGCTGTCCGGGGGCACCGCCTGCCTCTCCTGCCCGCCCTGCGGYGGTCACAGGGCTGTGCCCTGGCGCTGGCTGTGAGACGGGGGACATGAACGTCACCCGCTTCCTAGCACCGACTTGTTCAGTGGTCATGCCACTGCCTGTGTGGCTCTGCACAGGAGGCTCTGGGGGCCTCCAGCACCCACAAGTCGCTGGGTCCCTCGGGACGCTGCCACGCGCCTGGCAGTGAGGCCAGAACCACAAGGCCGGCTCTGCTCTCCGCAGGTGTCCAAGCCCAAGCAGATGGTGCCAGGGAGAGCCGCCCAGAGGGCAGCACTCTCCTCCTCCAGTGTCCGTACGGAAAAGAGGAYGGCTACCCTTCACACAAAGCCTGGTGCCGAGTGGCTAATAAGGAATGTGACATCWTAGTACAGACATATTACAGATATCCTGGTGTGTACACAAACCAGGACACGCGCGGCAGAGTTACCATACAGGACGACATCCAAAGTGGGACCGTTTTCATCACCATGAGAAACCTCCAGGTACAGGACTCGGGCACGTACTCCTGTGCTTACCATCAAAACACCAACACATACCTTCCACTGAAGACCATCTCACTGCACGTTTTCAAAGGTGAGCCCCTCAACAACCTCAGGTCTTGTCACCAGGAGCATCAGTCCCTACCTTGGGCCTCCACAAGGACATGGCGGCCRCGCTCGCACCCTCCYCGYTCCACTAGCCGGGTCCGGGCTCCCGCCCTGGACCCACCCCTTCCCTCCCTGGCGCGCGGCCCGGAGCGGAGCGACCCACAGAGACCTGGCCCGGGCGCCCCTCAGCCCGGGCAGGAACACCATGTGCCCACAGGCCTCTCACAGCGCTCACCTTTGCTGCTTCACAGAGGTCCGCGTGCAGGAGCTGGCCTCGCTCACTGTGCAGTGCCCCTACAGCACCCAAGAGTCCAGCGCGACAAAAGCCTGGTGCCGGCAGGAAGGTGCCACCTCCTGCAACATCCTGGTCAGCATAAATAGCTCTTCAACACAGCGTTACAGCAAAGCCCTGCAACACAGCAAAGCCCTGCAACACAGAACCACAATCAGGGACAACACGTGGCAAAATACCGTGACCATCACCATGGGGAAGCTGCAGGAACAGGACTCTGGTGTGTACTGGTGTGTGCTCGACACAGCCGCCCATCGCACGCAAACAGTGGAAGTCAGACTCACCGTGTCCAAGAGTGAGTACCTGTCTGTAAGACAGTGCGGCTGCCCGCAGCTTTCAGCCCCACTTTCCTGCCTCTCCTTCCCTCCCACCCTGCCCCGGATCACGGGGAGCCCCAACCTGCCGCCCGGGCAGATTTGCAGCCAGGGAGGGCTCAGCGCTCCAAGGCCACCGGGCCGCTCTGGGGAGCTCACCAAGCACAATCCTGTTTGCAGGCACGCGGCAGTTCACAGCCACGGAGTCCGACACGCTCGCTGTGCAGTGTCCGTACAGCTCCTACGAACACAGGTCAGTGCCCAAAGCCTGGTGCAAAGTGGCAGCGGGGCAGCAGTGCGTGGTGCTGGCCCGCACRGAYGAGCAGCGCCCAGGGCCCCGCGGGACGGCTTYGCCAGGCACAGCCACCATTCGGGATGACCTCTGGAGAAACACTGTCACCGTCACCCTGAAACAACTCCGCGCACAGGACTCCGGCGTGTACTGGTGTGTGCTCTACGAACCCCCCCAGCTCTTCCGCATACTGGAGGTTACACTCAATATTCCCAAGGGTACGTATTAGTCTGTAGGGAGCCACAGCCACCGCATACGCAGTCTCCATTGGGCACAGCAGTCTTGGAAGCAATTTTTCTCACTACATCTTTATGCTTTTTGCTTATTTTTCACCAACCTCCATCTGTTTATGCATAATGTTGTTTAAGACTTCATTGCTCCCTGGAGATCTGTGCCACAGATGCCATCGTCCAGCACCTGTATCACAACCCCGGCCATGCAGAGGGGTGGGAACACAAAGCAGAGCTCTTGGCGAGCCCCTTTCCTCCACACAGCCTGAGCTTTCTGTCGCTTTCCCTGCTCCCAGCAAGTCTGCGTGATCCTGGTTATAGGCTGGGCAGCTCCGCTGGGTGCTGTGTCACAGCATGAGTGACACACGTGGCATGAGTGGATTTATATAGGTGGAAGCAACAGCAGGAATCTTTCGCTGCTAAATGCAAAGTAGCCCCCAAATGGTTATTATTGTCTTCATGTTAGTGATTGTAACTTCATTTCGTCAGTTACTGGAAACACATGTGACACAAGTCCTTGCCCCAGCGACGCCAGCTTCACGACCCCTGCACCGCCAGAACGGTAAGGCCCAGAGAACACACATCAGAGCTATTCCTGTGTCCTCCATGATCTGCCCGGGATAGGCAATCTCTGGGCACTCCAGAGACTCTTGCTTAAAGAGAAATTAGGTTTCACAGGCATCCTTACATGGTATTAACAGTGAAACAATCTTCAGTGAAAACTTCATCCTTCTGTTTACCAGGGCATTAAATATAAGGGATTTTCTTTCTCTTTGGTCATGTGCTGTCATGCATAGGACAGCAACATCTACGAGTATAATCACACACTGGCTCTCCATGTGCCAAGTGCAGAAAACCATAGAAGGAAAGCAGCCCTTCTCCAAAGGGCTTGGAATTGTGCTCTAGAGCAAATCCCTGTTCAAGGTTGAAAAACCCAGGAAGCAGTTTAGCTCAAAAGGCACAGTTAGGTATCAACAACGCGGACAGCACAGCTGCATAAGAGCCAAGCTCTCCTCMCAAGCGCACAGATGTTATTCCTGCCCATTGCTGGTCACCTTTTGGCAACAGGCCGTGCAGCCCTATGCTGTGTTGCCTGCTGACACTTGAACCTCCTTTGCTCCTCCTGCTTCAGATTCACCGTAAGTACCTTCATCCTCCTCTATGTGGTCCTGGGCATCCTGCTTGTGCTGGCACTTACCAGCGTGGGAACACTGTACGTCAAGAAGCGCAGGCAGCGGAGACGAGGTACGTGCAGACCCGTGCTGCATCCCACGTTCGAGTCAGTACTAAACAGGGTTGTTTCTGGCCATACATTTTCCACTTCAACTGAACTTATCAACAGCTCAAAAAGCCTGGAAAATGAAAGGCAGGTGCAGGCGGGGAAGCCTCAAGGCAGCCTTCTGCTGTGGTCTCCTCTTACAATACATCAACGTCCTGCTCCTCTTCCTCCAGACTCTACCAAGACACTTCCTAAATCCATTCGGGTCAGACATCCCAGGGGAGAGTAATCCAGGGTCAGTATCCCAGGGTTCTGTGACAGGCCCAGGGTCTCACCGGCACCCAGAGCCCTCCTGACACATCCCTCGCTGGGACACCCCACAGCCTTGCCCTGAGCTCCTGTACACAGTAAGGGCCCAGGCATTCCCTGCACTTCTCTACCTCTAAAACTTTGATTTTGGTTCATTCCCAAGGTAACAGACGAGCAGAAGACATMTATGACAAACCAGAGGACACAGAACAGGTAAGAAAAACAACAGACTTCCCACTTGGCTCCTGAATGGCCTACCAATAGCCTGGGAGGAGCTAGCCGAGCCACGTGATAAGAAAGTTCTTGTTCATTTTCAGTTTGGGGCAGGAGGGGAGGTGATATTTAACACCTTWCCAGAAAGAGGCAAGTTCTTAGGTGAGCAGAGGGGTAATGTCAGGAAAGCCCAGAGGGAAAACAGTCGAGTGGAGCAGATTCTGTCAGGCTCTGAGAAAAGACTCAACTCCTTAGGCTAGAAGCAGAGGCTGGAAGCTGAAGCTGTAATAGGAAACAAGGCATGGAGGAAAGGGGCTGCTCTCCTTCCACCTCTGCCATGACAAAAGCTGATTTTCTACATGACTCTCTTTCTTTCCCTCTGCAAGAATCCTGTTTTTTTTATTATTATTTTTTTTTTTAAAACTGCTATGGCTTGGCACTGGATTGTGCTAAGTTTTCCTTTTCTTTTGCTTTTTTTTCCCCCTCAGTTTCAGAGCCCTGAACAAATGGAAAGTCCCAGGAAAGACAGCGAAGACCTAAAATACATCAGCCTGGCCTTTACAGGGCAGCTCGGCCCCGAGGAACCACTCTATGCTAACATGAGACTAGAGCAGGCTCCCAGGAATTCCAAGGCGGAAACTGTGGAATACGCCAACATTGCGCTCAAGCAGCTACCCATGAATGACAAAGAATGAAGCACAGGAGCCAAACAATCCAGAAATGGGAGGAAAGAAATGGAACACAGAGAGGGAATGGGGCACAGCAGGTGTCTGCAAGGACACAGGAAAAAGAGCTAAGGATTTGCTGCCATGCATACAGTGCCCACKCATTTTAAGACCTCCCAGCTACAGGAGGGCAGCAGCAAATTCTGAGAGCTGTGCAGATTCTCTCCAGTCAGAGAGAGGTGCTGGGTAGCCCCCCGGGATCTGCTGCACATCAATTTTCTTGGAGTCTATTCAAATACAGATTGCTTTGGAGATGCAAGTACGGAGGAGCAATTTTTTTCAAAGGGGCCGGCGGCGGATACTGCAGCTGTGTTCACTGGCACCAGCTCCATCCTGCTCCTTTGGACTCAGCAACTCTGACCAGGAGAAGCCCTCCTCGGTGCTGCTGTTTGAACCCCGGATRCTGATGGGACTGGGTTCCTTTGCCACATAACGAGGGACGGGTTTTAGTGCTGGAATTAGAGCAATCAGCAGAACCAGAACCTGCCTAAGGGGAAAAGCTAGAGGACATATGGCAGTAAGCTGGAACGCTGCACTGCAAACTGGAGAAACTGAGAAGGACCCTGCTGAATGAACCAGAGAACTAGGTCTTCTAGCTACCAAACAACTGCATGTGTGTGCAAACTCCTGCATATCCTAAATTTATCGGTCTCTGTAGGTAAGAGCAATGGCAAGAGTCTTTCAAATAAATGTAAATGTTTAGCTTTGGAGCAAGAAATGGAGCGTGCAACTGGAAGTTCAACACTGCCCCTTCCACAACTCCATTATTTACAAATTTGAGGGATCAGTTTGCACTCCGGCTGGTTTGTCCACAGCCAGTACGTATTTATGCAGTCTTTATGGCTCGTACGCTGGAAACAGAATGAAGCAGTGCAGGAAATCTGTAGTCACAGTCATGGCTTCCTATGTGTAGCATGTGCAGACTGCTCCAGCCTTCCCCCTCCTCCTCCAAGGGCCTTACCCCATTCCACAGTTCCTGGCTGGCCTCCTCATCCCACCTCCCCTCTTCCTTCTGAATGCACAAACTAGCTGCTTAAACCAAAGCAATGCATAATAAAGACAAGGTAGGGAGAAAAAAAGAGGCAGCAATAACATGCAGTACTACCCTGTCTCAAAAGTCACGGGGACATTTTGAACCGGACTTCTGATTTTGCCTTATAAGCCTAAGACAGATATGAGGAAGGACTGTCCAGACAGACCTTCCTCAGTGCAAGGGCCTGGCAGGAGGAAAGAGCAGGGAAGTTGCAGGAAACRTGACAAAAAGCAGAAGAAGAGATGTGAACAAAAGAGGGCTGGTTTCAACACGAGGTGGTAACACAGAAGGGAAGCAGCACTTAAGAGTGGATGGAGATGTCCAAAGCAGTCAGACATACAGTTTATTTGTATATAGAGGCAAGTGGTCTCCAAGGGGCTTGCCACAGGAAGAGAAAACAGGCAGGAATGTCATCAGATCTCTGCCATCAGGGGTAATCTTGCCACAAACTCTCAAACCCCTTCATACAAYGCTCCAAACTTCATGTCCACAGGGTTGGGAGGCACCTGTGCAGGAATGCCCTCTCCAGCCAGTTCCAACGTASTGCTCTCTTCCTCAGCACCATGTGCTATAATTTTAGCAGCTCTTCCTGGCCTGTCCACCAGTGCAGCTGCAGAAATCCTGCATTCCCAATTCAGCACTATTCTTTTTTTTTTTTTGCTCTTTTTAGTGGCTTCTTGCTCAGTCACAGGACACCAGAACTCATGCAGGTCTTAATGGGAGAGCCCCAACTCCCTAGGGAGTTGAGCAGTGCCTGAGTACTGCGGTCCCAGCTCTGCTGGAAACACTCCACATAGTGCATCTGCTGTCTGTATCTACTACTCACCTGGTGACTGATGTGAAATGAGGTTGCTAGAACTCAGGCCACACACCCTAAAACACAAAAAACCTGACGCTTTGTCCTCCCCAAGCTCTGCAGACTCTGTAGACAAGCAGCAAATCGAAAGGCCTGAGCTACCCTTTCCACACAGGCCAGTCAAATCCAGCTTCGCTATAGACCTATCCTGCTATGGCTGCGACAGGGAGGACAATTTATTCTTTGAGGTTTTCAGAACTGACACTTCTAACTTGGAAATAAAGAAGGAAAATGAAAACYGTTACAGAAAGATAATCCTAACTTTTGGCCATTCATGCAATTAGTGGGTCAAAAATGCTACTAATCATCAAGAAACATGAGGTATGAGACAGCAGAGAATAAACGTTGCATACGCAGCTGTTTCTACATCTCCTTTCCACTGCAGATGACTTCCAAGGCTGTGTCCCTGCCTCACTTCACTCTCTCGATGCCAAGTCACCTGAGGCCACCCCTTCCCTTTCACCGTTGCAGAATTCCCCTGTGCACAGCTCGTGTGTAGTCTCCTCTGAAGAACAGGCACCTGGGGAGCTCGGAGGGCCTCCCAGGGCCGCGGCTTCAGGCCATCACATGACGCCCAGGCTGTCTAGAACAAACCCTGGCTGCAAGTGGCCAGTGCTGATGCCTCCATTTTTAGCCTGCAAGAGAAATGGCTGTTCCTGGCAAATTGCTCAATGCGTGGGACAGAAACAAATGCCAAGTTCCTGTGCTCATCCCTTCCTGCTGAGCAACGAGGAGGGAAAAAACGAGCTGCCCTTGGGCTCTCCTTTTTGCTTTTGTTCAGCCTCTACTCTGGTGCCCTGCTCTGCTGCAGAGACATGGGAAAGCTYGCAGACCTCCTCTTCTTGGTTTTCTTGTCAGGTAAGAAAGCGTAGGCGGTTTGAGTCGCAGTTAAGGGGCAGGGTTCAGGCTTGCTGCAAGACTTAGCATCTGCCTGCACCTAGTATGAAATACCGAGAGGGCTATGGGAAAAGACTGCACAAGCCTTGAGACACAGCAGCTTGTTCCAGATGCCAGGGCAGCTTCACTGCAGCATGGAGGCCTTCAGGAGAGGAAAGAGAAAGCTCTGCTGCCTGTCCGTGCCCCGCGGGACCCAGCACAACGSTAACAGAGGGAGACGAGCTCTGCAGTGTGCTCTGTGCTCACATGCTTCCATGCTGATGGAAGTCTTATGTACTTCCTCAGAAAGTGAAATTGCAAAATCCTATTTGTTTGGCCTTTGGAGGGGTTCGGACATGAACTGCAGCAGTTAAGGTTCGCACAGAGCCAAGGAAAGTTCAGCGGGGTAGGGACAGCTCCCCTGAAATCCTGGGGACAATGAAATGAACCCTTTGAACTGGGGAGGACATCTCTAGAGAGCATCACTCTCCCAGACTCCGACTCAGCTCCAGAGCAATCTTTGTCTGGAATGAGAAACAAGGCACAGGATCCAGCTGGAAATGCCAGTTGAGAGCATTTTCCAGCCACACTGTAGAGATCCCAGATACAGCTGTGCAGGGAAAGATACGAGACTCAGGCTTGTGAAGCACAGAAACCTGTTTCAATTATGACCAAAATATCTGAATGAGTATAGAAAAAAATCCATGTCCATTATTCTTTTTCTCTTTTTTTCAGTAGTGAAGAACATGTCAGGAAAAACAGAAACAATAAATGGCCCATCAGCAAATTTGCTCAGCAAGTTAATGACACAGTTTTCCATGAGGACATCAACAAATCTTTAAATGGCATAATTCAGACCARTAGATTTTTGTAATGCTGTTCCTGGTTAAAAAAAGAGAAATACCTGAGGTCATCCCATGTCAGGAACAAAGAAACCAGCAGAACTAGAGGTGGGGAGGGGACCGCAATAGCAGTGGAGGTTGCAGTGTTGAGCTGGATTACACAAGACAAGGCTGGGCCTGCAGGGCTTGAACTAGAGAGCGAAGCAGGATTAAGACCTGCAGCTGTTGGATGCTTGGAGAGCAAGATAGAKTTTTTATACCTTTCTCCTTGGTATAAAAACCCTTCGTTGTTGTTGCTGTTTACAATTCACTCTGAATGGTTAAAATTATTTTAAGGAATGTTATTCCTTAGCACAAAGCACCATCACAAAGTCAACAACCTGTTCTTCTACTTGCACTTCTACTTGCATGTAGGTTTTTGGCACTACCTATGGTTTCATAGAAGCTACCAGCCTCTAATTTTAACAGATTTCCACAACCACTACGTGGCATTTCTGCCTTCAAGTATTAATAGAYGATCTCTTCTCCATTTGCCTACCACAAAGAGGAATGGAAATCAGAAAGAAGGAACTAAGGCAAGAAAACCAAGCAGCTGAACACAAGCTGTCAACAGGTCTAAAATTAGTAGGATATGAAAAGATAGTGTGAAAAAAATGCAAAGAACCAAAATTTGCTGCRTTTCATAAAACCTGAAAATTTTATGAAAATATTAATGAAGATGATACTTCCTCCCTCCTCAGGTTCTTCACAAAAGAACAGCTGCCTTGCAAGAGCCTAGCAACATCCCTCTCACAGGGAGCAGTAGAAAATATTTCAAGAAAGTCTGAATGAAGACTCTGAACCTGAGCACATTCATCTTTCACAAGGGAGCGAATAAAGGTTCTACAGTAGATAGTGACCATCACTAGAGTTATGAAAGAGGAAAATGTTATTTCTTTAACTTAGTGATAAGGGATAGGGGTGAGAGAGACTTAGCTCACAGCTTCCTCCTCCTCTCCTAGCTYCCTGTACTGCAGAGAACATCACTGTGGTTTATGGAATGGAAGGTGGGACCATTTCCATCAACTGCACCTACAATCCCTGGCAGCAGCGGTGGAGAGAAAAGAGCTGGTGCAAGCAGGTGGACSAGATCAAGTGCCAGCACGTGGTGAGTGCCCGCCGCTTCTGGCTTCAGTTCCTGAAGAAYAGGAACGGCACCACGTCCATCAGCGACAACATCCATGAAGGGGTCCTGACAGTGACCATGAAGAGACTCAAGAAGCAGGATGCCGGGCTCTACCGCTGCAGAACCGAGTACTTGGGAGAAACGAAAACCTTGCACAAGGTGCAAGTGGAAGTGCTGACAGGTAGGCATTGGGCCTCTGAGTTTCATGAGTTCACGAGTTATTACTTAAATTGCAGGCATGTCTGCAGATGCCAGTGCCTCACTCTGGCAAAAATCTAGTCTAGACTGGCCTGTCTTTATGGAGGTAACTGTGCTGCGTTTGCCTCTTTCTAGTTCCTGATTTACAGCAACGCGGCCTTGCTGCTGCAGGACACCCCCACCCCATGCAGGTCTCCCCTCACATAAGCATCCAGGTTAATCTCTGACTCAGCCCAGTGGTTATCTACGCCTAGCTGGGATCCTGCTAGTGGCAGCACCAACGCAATCGCCTTTAAGCATCTGCAGACTAAACTTCTCTGTTTYCTAGCATCAGATATAGCGCAGACCGAAATGCCAGAGGAGCCTAATGCCGTGCAAAGCATTTCCAGGTAAGTCATAAAAAAGCCTTTCTGAAGCTATGATCTTTAACCTTCCTAGGGCTAAAATAGACTAGCATTGGATTTGTTGAGAGGAATATCATCATGTCATGTTCTCTGCTTCTTCCTAAACCATGAAAATTTTCAGAGCTGCTGTGTGGTTTCTACGTAGCAGCTGTTTCCTAATCCAGAAAAAGCAGCATTTTTATGCCAGACAAAACAATCCTGCAGATCATAATTAATCCATATGTGAGATTTCACAGTTGAAATCTTTAATAGKTGTTCCAACCTTCTGGAATGTTGTGCGCAGGCAGGGACTGCCTACTGCAAGGGATCATCTTCGCACTGTTTATTGCCAAAATATAGAAGTCAAGGTTGAACCATCCCCTTCCCATTTAAGCCTTACTGAGGTTTCTGTGCTTTCCTACAGCATCACTCCTGAAGCTGACTCCACTATCTTGTGCATTGTCACCGGATTCCTGGTTACCAAGTTCCTGGTGGCTGTGCTGACGTTCACCATTGCCAGCAGAAGGAAAAACAAAGACACGGAGACAGAGGAGAAGAACCAAAGTCTCCATGAACAGCAGCTCYTCCCGCTCCCTGGCAGCCTGGTGGAACACGCACGGGATGGAGTCAGTCCCTCTTGGGAAAACACTGCTTAGAGCTCATCTGAAGACACCAGGGAATTGTATGACAACAGGTGTCAAACATTCCCAGGCAAAGAAAGTTTTGCCATAAGGACTGCCGACTAAATGCAGGCAGCAGRACCTCCAGGGAGGGAATACCAGCATCTGCCACCTCCTCACATCCTCTCTGACCATTTTTCTTTTGTGACCTTCACAATAGCCCTGAAAAGAGGCTGCCAGCAACACTAGAACCTGCTGGAAAGGGCTGGGGATAAGAGGGTATACAGAGTATTTCAGACCCAGCACAGACTTGCCTGCATGCAAAAGTGCTTCCACAGGAACTGGAGAGGTGAGAGCTCTGCTCTGTTCTCCCCTAGCTCTGTGTCAGGCTGCAATTTTCCTCTTTCACTGAAGATTAGTGTTAAAGAGCTAACCGCTTTTGCTTTTTTTCAGCATGTCTTACCTATCTCCATAAAACTCTTGAATGTTGCCACCCAAAAGCATGAAATACAGCCAGTAGTGGACAGTTTGTATTAAAAAAAAATGACACTACTATTTGTCTAGAAATCAGTTTTGTAACCGAGATTGCTCTCTGTAAAGCTTGAAGCCACTGCCACAGGGAAGGCAATGCAGTTCTCTGTTACCATCTGTAGAGGGACCAGTAACAGCACTGTCCATCTGCCAACAAGCAGTTCCCGTCATCCCTAGGAACATCCCATAGGGTCTGAATTGAGACAGTAGAGTTCATGCCATCTCAGAGTCTTCAAGGTGATGAAAGGACTCGCCCTCAAAGATTACAGTGGATGGTGTGGATCTTTGCTGGAAAGTGACTATGGAAAGACACAACAAACTGTAGAACTTAACAGGGATGTGGAGTGTACACGCAATTCTGAGCCTGCTTCCTGATTTCTCAAATAATTTTGCAAAGAATGAACTGTCTTGCTTTATTTCTCTCTGCATTTTTCCTCTTGCTTAAGGGGATGTTACCAACATGTGACCATTGCTCACTGCTCTCAGAAGTGAAACTGCAATTCAGTCTGCAAGGAAGAGTTCTCATTACATCATGATGAATTTCAAACAACAAATATAAAGTCAACAAGCGTTCAACTAATCCCTCTTTTCTACTCCAAAACCAGAGCCTTTTACATGTCTTTTATCTACATTGTTWACAAAGCTAAATAAAATCAACTTTGATTATCCTGTTTAGTGTGACTTCATGATAAAGAGTTGGAGTACATTAGATCATAACAAATCATCCAGAGAAGAGATAACCTTTAGGACATGCTGGTCTGTTTGCAGCATACAGAAATGCCCTGAGTCCACCCCTCAACCTCTTGATGCATCCAACCAGTGCCACTTAGCTTGCCGGAAAGTGCAAAACGGCAGTAATGAAGAACACACACAACTGAAAGCTGCTCTTGCAATGTGTTAAGGTGGCACTACAGACAGAAAGTGCCTATTTCTTTTCCAGCAATACAGTCTGATTGCTAAATAAGGCTATCTAGACAGTGGTGCTGTTAAAGAAAAAAACAGCCAATGAAGATTAAGCAGGCTCCCCATCCAAAAAGTGTATTGAATTTGTGGTTTTCTCAGCAACTCCYAACTGGCCCCATCATTCTGGGGCAGCAGATGCCAGTAAGTAACAAAGCAAATTAGCTTCCTCTACGCTAGAGAATTGCCTAGTGATTAAGACGCTGCAGGATACATTTTTTCTCCATGACCTAAACTACCTGCTACTTCAGGATGGAAGGTTTTCCAGCAGCCTTGCTCTTCTTGCTGGCACTACCAGGTAAGGCTCAGAAACCCCATATTTCTCTAAGGGACAAGATACTCTCTGCCTGTCACACACATTGCACAAACTACGTATTTGCTTGCACACTTTTCACTCAGGCTAGCTAAGGCAAGACATGGAATAAGATTCCTCATTGCCCATGAGAGGGGGAAATGTTCAGTCTGAAAGTTGCCCATTAGGAATAACTTGATTGAAAAAAAAAAAAAAAAGAAGAAAAAAAAAGCAGTGAGTTGCACCAAGACTAAACACAGGTGTTTAGAAAAACTTGCAAAGTTACTCTTGTCAGAGGCTCAGGGTATGAGTGCTATTAGTGATGTAATGTAAGAAAAACTGGCATATTAAAATATTCTAGTATCACTTTTCTTCTATCTTTGGAAGGATCATGCATGTCAGGAGAGGATCTGCAAGTGTTTCTGCAAGCAGAAGGAGACTCCTTCAGAGCTAAATGCTCATATAACATACATGAGAGTTTACATAAGATGAAATTCTGGTGCAAGGAGCTGTCAGAAGAAGCTTGTCCAGTCTTAGCCTTCAGTTTCCCTCTGATAGAAAGGACGCACCGTAACCCTGCACTGCGTCGCTCAGTTGACCTGACAGACACTGGACGTGGATGGATTTCTGTGACCATGAGAGCACTCCGAAAAGACGACTCTGGCACATATCAGTGTGGGATGCGGGGTGATCTGCAGAAAATTCTACTGCAGAGAATAAAGATCATGGTTTCTGCTGAGGGTGAGCTGTGAGGTCAATGGTGCACCGGGTGGGTGAGGATCAAAGTAAATCAAGAATGGAAACAACATTCCTGGTTTAACAGCAAAATAGAGTGTATATAAAGATGCCACTGGAGGCTGTCAAGAGCATTGTTAAACTCTTTTATATAGCTCAGTATACATATCTATAGGTCTCTAGAAGCTGAAGTAGCTGGAATCTTATTTTTCCCACATGAAACCAAACAGAGCCAAAGCCAGAAAATCACTATTTTAGGAATTATTATCAGAAAACATGAATACAATTTTGCTGGATTGCATTCATTCACTAAAAGAATGAAAGTGGGACATCTGGTGGGTTGTAGATCACTGTTGGGATAGAAAATGTTACTAAAAAAAAAAAATCCTACCTCTAATGAGTCACTGCTTTCTTTTCTTTAGAACCTGTAAGGCTGTTTGCAAAAGAAGGGGGCAACCTATCCCTCCACTGCTCTTACTCTGTGATAGACAACATCAGGAAACTTCAACATTTAACTTGGTGCAAAATGGTATCCCGAATTACATGTCAACCTATTATCAGAGGTAACATTGATCAAAGTATTGTTAAAGAGGGAAAGACTGAGATGATGAATGACTTCTCATGGAAAATGATTAGAGTGTGGCTGAAAAAGCTCCAGTTTAATGACTCAGGAGAATATCATCTTGAGAGTCATTTCCAGGGGAGAAAAAAAACACTGAAGAGGATCATGCTGGAAGTTTTGGGTGAGTAAAGTCAGCAAATTCTTAGCACTTGACGAGAAAAATTACAGGTCAGTGTTAGATCTCTTCTGAGCCTTGAAATTTCCTGATATAAAAGAAAGGAAAATCTTTTCTTTAAATGCATTTTTGATACATACTCATGGCATAAACAAGCTGCAGACAATTCTCGAGGCGGGGGTGTCTAGCAAAGGTTCATCAACTAATGGAATTTTACATTTACATCAGCAGATGAAATGTATCCTAAGAAACCTAAATCTTTGTCTGAATTTCCTGAGACCATTTTTCTGAGAGTTCCTTTGTCATTGYTCTTTAATAAACTTATAAACTTTCATATTTAACACTTTGCTTCCTTCTCTACTTTTAGCCAGGGCAAGAAGCAGAAATACAGAAGATATTTAGGGAAAGTAATTCCTTGATTCTTCTGACATGAAGAACAAAACAAAGAAACAAAAAAACACAAGAAGTGTCTTTTCTCTAAAAGATTTCCTTTCTAACAGCATTCATACACCCAAATAAGCACCACAGTTTTCATATCCTTCTCTAAAATGGTATGATCTTTCATGGCAAAAAAGGCAATAAAGCTGGAGTACCCTAGAAGCCTCCACAGGAGGATTTTTTAGTATCACAGAAAGTCACCAGGGATGGAGGTATGTGACAAAATCACCTGGTCTTGTGTTCTTTTTATTTTTTTTCTTCCAAGGGGAATATTGGAATCTGGATACAGAGTTGGAGGCCATTTCATTTCCCACTGAGAAGCAGGAGACTGCCAAGCTCCCAGAGGACAGCAATGTGCATCACAGGTTTAAAAAAAACAAACAAACAAACAAAAAAACCCTCTGGCTATAGCATTCAGAATATACTGCAGGACTGGAGGGATACCATGACAGAAGGATGAAGCACAAGTTCCCACACAGGCTTCCCCTTCTCTCCTACAAAGTTTGGTCCTCCCTAAGCACCACAAAAAGCTGCAGAAGGTTCTCTTGGTTTCTGAAGCGCTAGCCGAGGCCTCAGGTGAAGATGCTCAGCTTGACTGTGCTCTTCCTCCCTGCCTGCTTACTAAGGGATCACTATATGGTCCATGCAACATCTCTGCACCTTGCACAAGCAACCTAACCAGAGACCAACCCCACCTAAACTGCATAGTGGGTCAGATGAAAGTCATTCTCAGGCCTGACTAAAGGAGACCCTAAATAATGATCCTGGTCAAAGAGAGCCCTTAAAAAGGGCTACTTCATCCTGATGGGGCATGCCTTTGAACTCTAGCAGCACTTCAGCTGAGTGCAGGAAGAAAATTCAAGCTCCTGAGTACTACCAGTCTTACCTTGTGCCATAGAAAATACAGTTGGGTGAGATTCACTGCTGACCTCAGTGAAATCGAATTTGGTAGGGATAGCAAGAGCAGTACTTGCAAGCTGCATTTTCATCCTGGAACCATAATCCATCTTCAAACACACCAAATCCCCTCCCAAATCAGCCTRGTCCCTCTGGTGCTGTAAAAAGTAATGTTGATATCATGCCCTTCCCTGCAGGAATCTCTATGCGCTCATGGCACTGAGTACCTTCCTGGCTACAACTGCTCTGATTGCTACTGTTATACTGCTCACCACCATTTACATCAGAAGAAAAAGGGCAGGTAAAGCTTCCTAATCCTTTTGCCTTTAGGGCTRGTTTCCCACCACCCTGAATGTAGGGAAGGTTTATTCATAGGTGTTATTGTCCATGAAGACAATGAGAATGAGCTGAAAGTGAAATGAAAGATGGAAGCAAGATATTTACTTTTAAAGTGAAAAGGTAAAGGTGTGGTTTTATACTCAAAAGAGATTCTGTCCTTTCTGCCAGGAAAAAGAATGGGCTTTGCCAGACAGGCTGCTTTCAGACGAGCAGTGCTGCAGGTAAGAGGACATAAGAATTTCCACATTTTTGTTTCATCTCTGCCATGCATAGTTAGCAGAAAGGAGAGAGAAAAGTACAGCCAGAAGGATTCCCAATGCCCATGCTCACTTCTGCCCTCAGTAGAGCAGCAATGTTCTGCAGTCTGAGTTTATAACTTCTTGTAATTCTTTTTTTTCCTTTCTTTTTTTCTTTCAGAAGGATAGAAGAAACCATTCAAGGAGAATGCCAGATGSGGACCTGAAAGACAATGCAGTATATGCTGTGATAGGACACCAACCTCAACTAAAGCCTGAAGATACTTATGTCAACATTCAACCTTCCCCAAAAGTCTTTTTCCACCTTCAAGAAGCAGGAAGCAACTCAGTAGAATATGCTACCGTTATCTTTAGAGCCACAACTTCTCAGTCTGGAACTGAAAAGAAATAAACAAGTCCACCCAAACAAAGCAGCACGAAGTCTTGGGTGTATTCATAAAATTTTCCTGAAAATTTCTCAAAAGCAATCCCTTTGTAAGCAACTGCTGAAGCTGGATACAAGTGGGGTACAAGGCAAAAGGCAAAGGACACAGCACACAGAGGAAGAGAATTTCCCTGGGTGAAAAAAATGCACTTTTCTAATAATACAGCATGACAATTTGATAAGCAAATCCACTATTACACTGTCGCATATTTGTTTTCTCTACATTGTCTATTTTAAAACAACAGGGAACTATAAACCCAAATACAGGAAACTGGTTTTCTCTGATAGCAACTGCCACAACATTCTATTTAGCAAAGGATGGCAAGATAGGGGAACACGATACACTTCCTTTCATACTTGCAACTTCTCTAACAATTCACACAAACACATGTTAATCACTCTCCCTGCTCAGAAAGCCCACGTCGGTCAAGTATTAAGGAATCTGCTTAACTGTAACCATGAGAGTTCTTTGACTTCAGAAATAGAATTCCTGCACTAGACATGTTTTAGTAAAAAAGTGTCTTGTTGAAAAACATTCATATATATTATTATATCAAATGTCCTAAATAAATGGGTGTAGAATTAAGGCCCAGCATAGAACCATTTTTATCAATAACTATATTATATATACATATATAATATAAATAATATAATTATAATTGTTGTATACAATAATTATAAATAATATAAATATAAAACATATTATATATTTATATAAATAGCTGTATTTCCGTGCCTTTGGAGCTTGCTGTTTATTAATATCACTTCCATGCTACAGAAAGGAGGGAGAAAGGGAAAGAAGGGAAGAACGGAGAGACTGAGGGAGAGAGATAATAAACAAACTTCTATTGCCTGGTCTCATGGGATTATCAACATCKTTGACATTTACCCTGGGCTGGTTGTCTTGCACAACATCCATCCTATCCATAGCTAATKGTCACCCTCTACTACAAATTCTCTGGAAACAGTGTGGAAATAACATTATAACAATAACTGAACAGATCAGTTTGGGGCTTTTTCCTTCTCCCTTAGTGCCAGCAACTACAGAATACTCATTTCCAGAAAACAAAGCTAAGTGAGTGAGGAGAAGATTCTGGCAACTGTGACTGGCTCATGATTAGCAGGTACAAGGACTTCTCTCCAAAGTAAGGGATTGCTTTAAATTGGCCTGTTCTGGTCTTCTTAGGGAACAGAGAAGAATATCAAATCAAGAATAAAGACCAACAAAAAAAAAAAAAAACCCAAAACTGTAAAATCAATATCTGAATGTCTTTGTAATCAGACAACCTATCATGATCAGAGGGCATTCTCTCCAAGCCTACCGTGCCTGCGTACTCCCTTGGGCCACTGCCCTTCATGCTGCTCTGCATTCAGGAATCTTCAGCTGTGCTGTCCGTRAGGATTTATTCTGCTCTATTTGCCAACAATTACATCCCCAGCGTTTCTGCATTTTGCCATCGCTGCAGAGCTGTGAGCAGTCCGACGACATAAAACCTTTGTTCGGACCGCAGGCTCTGGGGGTTCTGCAGCCCGCAGCAGGAGGCTCCATCCTTCGATGCTGCCTGYACTGAAGGTAACTCCAAACAGCAGCTCCAAAGTGGATGCTCTCAACCCAGAGCAGCTTCCCTCCCAACTTCCCAAGGGGGACACCCTCCTCCTAATTTAGACACTTAAAATCCAGGCAGTGTGGCTATGTCCCCTTATAATTGGCTTAAGGAGTACAAGCACATTTTCTGCTGGGGCTCTGGGACCACTTCAGTGTGACTAAACAGAGACCCAGCCAGTGTTTCCCAGCTGTTTTACTGACAGGGTAAAGATGTTCCTCGGTTGGTTCACTTTGAAAATATTATTAAGGCATCCATTGCAGAGAGAGAAACRCAACTGTTCGTGTTGTGAAAAACAACAGAAACACAAACTGCTGCGTGTCTGTTACTTGCAAGGTAGACTCTGCTGGCATAGAGCTGATTTTTGCATCAGCAAAAGCAGAATCTGGCCCTAACAACATTTACACAAGAGGCAGACCATAACGTCTTCTCATCCCCAAAATTCTCTGTAAAGGGAAAACATCCACAAGTATTTAAAGAACATTCTGACAATCTACAACTACTTCTTACCATGCAGAAAAAGTGCCCAAGCGTGCATGACCTTATTCTTGACAAAAGTATTTACTTTATCACATTTTTTAACATTTAAATAACAGTAGTATTGAGAGATCCTGAGCAGCTTGCGTGGAGGAAACAGTATGCCCAAGGGGGATTAGCAGGCAGACACGGAAGCCGAGCATCTCTTAAACCTCTGAAAGCCTGTCCAATCCTTTTAAGAAGAAAACTTTCTTTTGTACCAAAACACAAGAAATAAGCTCTTTATAAGGGTGTCCATTCAGCCGTATTTGGACAATGACATAGTAACATGATACCTGGAGCTTGAAGACAAGAAAAACACACCACCTTCATGGAAGGGAACAGAGAACACCAAGGTMGGAATATCTTTGTGGTGATGGGAACAAAAAAACATTGGACTGTCATGACTTAACACTCTTGCAACACACCTATAGGGCACCCCCTATGCTACAGGGGAGCTTTCTCCTCACACCATCTCTCAGGGATAATTAGGCAAGGCGTGCAGTGAAGCCTGGAACACAGATATGGAACAGGCTACTCAGGGAGGTTGTGGAGTCTCCTTCTCTAGAGGTCTTCAAAACCTGCCTGGATGCCACCCTGTGCCACTTGCTCTAGGTGTCCCTGYAGGWGCAGAGGGGTTGGACTAGATGATCTCTAGAGGTCCCTTCCAACCTTAACTATTCTGTGATGAGAGATGGGTCTGTCACCAAGGGGCACTCTGGGCACTAGGCCTCACCCCACAAGATGGGTGAGGGAAGGAAGGGCCACACTTTGAGTACTAGGCACATTTTTAGGATTAATTAAAACAGTARTTTTTTTCATGTAATAATTACAGAACCTCATTCTGCCTAAAAACTCAGCTAATGTGTGTTTTCCTCACATGGGGTCGGACATATGAAAGCCACGCTGTCACCCAGCTTGATGCAGCCTTTATTTGCTCCTCCACCTCAACAAGGCCATTTCGTCCGCTGAGCGGATGCTGCGGGCTGCCCTGACACTGCAGCAGCGAGAGGCCAGTGCCAGCCAGGCCTGTCCCTGCTCCTCCTAGGACAAGACTCACCTCAGCTCAGCCTCGCCACATAACAGCCGCCATCTTGAGGCGCTGCTGCCCCACTTGGCCGCAAGAGCAGTGCAAAATGGAGCCAGGCGTCACCACTGGCCAATCAAAGCTGCCCCACAGGGGCTCCTGTCCAATGGGCGTTCACAGCTCTATAGCTCATCCCCGCCCCCAGCCAATCGCTTTCCACCACCCACCCACCCGCAGGGATGGCGGAGCTGCTGCCCCAGGCTCCACCTCAGGTGATGCAGCCGCCATTTTGCAACCGGAGGGCAACAGAAAGAAAGGAAAAGTTTTCCCTTTTTTCCATCCTACCGACCTCTGAAGGACCCCTGGGCCTGTCCTCACTGAGCAGGGGAGCACGGAGCATTGTGCCCAGCCCTCTCCTCCACTCCTTGGGGCAAGAAAAGGCACCAGGGCTGGGAAAGCCACCTGTGGGCGCTGCCTCCTCCCTTGGTGCTTCCTCGCTCGGCTGGAAGGAGCAACAGGACTGGGAAACAGAACCCAGGCTAGTACCCAGTTTATAAATTTTTATTAGCTGGATAGTGTACACAGTACTTACAATTGCATCTATTAAAGACCAAAATACACTTGAAAAAATGCATCATATAAAAAAAATTATAAACTTTTAACTATATACAAACTTTGCCTTACATTACGCAAATCTCAGTACCCCCCTCCCCCATTCACAAGTAAGATTCTTTTTCCTCTCCTTTTTTTTTCTCTAAGCATGCAAAGCCTTGAAGCCATTTAGCATCATTGAGGACAGTTTCCCACACTCTATTCTTTACACTTGCATAAAACTGTTTTTTGATAGGTTCACTGCTCCGGTATTTGCTGGGTCAATCAGCCATATTTTTCATTCTCCCCAGGCCCATTCTTTTATCCTCATCACTCTTTTATGCACTTCTAAAGTGGACTTTCTGCCAATTCACAAAGAATTCCCATTTAATTACCAGAGGTTTGAATTTGGTGATGTTTCCAATTTCATAAATTCACCCAAGAGAATAAAGTGGACTTTTTGGTAACATGGTATTGACTGGTATCTCCAATCTCATCAAGCAAACACTACTTTTAAAAGTGAATACAGGTAACCCAAAGTAAATGAAAAAGATGACAGTAGCACTCAGGCTTTCACATCACTACTGAAAATATTAACGATAAGACTTCCTACATAAAACAAATTCATAGGTCTTAATACATATTCTACAACAAATCGGAGAACGTATATATGAAGGGCTTACTGGAAAAGATCTAGATATTTGGAAGAAGTTTACAGGTTAAGAAAACAAGTATTTACTCAAGTTAAAAAAAAATACTTAATAATCTCTGCTTCCCTAACTTCCAGCTGCCAAAGGGGGGTCTTCAGGACAGAGATTAGCTGTCAGTTGAAGAGCAGAAATGTTACGAAGTGGCTGTCTTGCATTCCTCCAGCCCATGAATATTCTAGATTAACAAAATGTACAGATGCTCTTAAAAAGTATTTACAGAAATGCTGTAAACTCAACTAAAGCAAAAAAATCATTATTCCTTCACTAGAAGAGAGCTACATTTTTCCTGAAATGGATGACCTCACAAGAAATGCTAGGTGAGGATTTCATAGTCGCCAACTGAAGAAAATAAGCACCACACTCTGATCAGCCAGGTAGTTTAAGGCAGAAGCAACCAAAGGCACCAAAGATGCCAGAAATATAACAGAGGCAACCAAATGCCTTTTGACTAATTTAAAAAAAAAATCCAAAAACTTGTAAAATTTGTGACCAGAGTATTAGATTGTTAACATAATTTAAGACAATAGAAAGATTCCTTTATATGTATATCAAGAACTTGGCTTCCACCTCCTCCCAAAGCTGCAAGTTTCACTTGAGTGTARCAGAGCTTGTTGCTCAGCTTTAACTTAGTGTCAACTGTGGTGACATTAAGATCGCAAAACTAAAAATCCAGCACAGGAGGTCTTGGAACAATTTAGAAAATGCAGCTGCCTAAATAAATATSCTAAATCTGCATTTCTTCTTTGTATTTTCAATGGCAAGAGTCTCTGTACCTTCACAGATGGGTAACAACATTGCCTTCCTTAATATCAAGGCAGGCATACTCTCCCCCACAGAATCAGCAGCATCAAACACTTCTCCCTGTTTCTTCTTGCTCCTCTTGCATTCTTTCCCATCTGTTTTTACTCTTTTAGCTTCAGTATTTGTCTTTTATGCAATGTAAATAGAGGTTTGATTGCTCTGATTTTTATACCATTCCAGCCATTTCATCTTTTACTATTTTTCCAGCCATGCTGCTTCCAAGTTCATACTTAACTGCAGCAGCACAATTTAATTGCAGAACACACAATTTTGAAAGAGATGGAACTACAGCATGCAGGTGACACACAGCCAGTCCGTGGGAAATGCACATGGAAAGATGCCCCTATCACCTGTTAGAAGGCTTAAGAACTTCAGGCTCCAATGACATTTTAAGTCAGTAAGATGTACCAAGTTTGAAATATGTAATTACCTACTGAATTAAAGATAAAGATGAAGTCAAAGAATTAATCCAGATGCCAGCTAAAGGTCATGAAAAATGCTTTTTTTTTTTTTTAAAGCAAGCATGTTTTCCTCATTCCTAAGTGCTACTTTTATCTAAAAGCTATCTTTTATTCTGTAAAAAGTCTGAAAGATTCATCAATTCTTGCCTTTGTTTGCTTAACAATCCTTCAGTTACATCAGGATGAGCCAAGTTAATTGTCCTGTGTTTCTGTTGTCATGAGACAGTCCCTCACTCTGTAGGATGAGAATTGCAGAACTAATTATCAGGAAACACTTAAAAAGTCCTATCACTCTGATATTGCAGATATTATTTCTTTTGGAGGAACCAAGCACTGCACTGGCAAGTTAGAAGGAAGACTGAAAAAAAATCTTTAGAAGAGACTCACTTAAAACATCTGATCCTTTTTATACTAGCATCTGCTTTTCTTCCAAAGTGTCAATTATTGGCAATAAACATATCAAAAAACATCTACACAGACTGCATTTTCTAATTACATTTTTAAACTTACATCAATAACCCTCTCATTTATTCCTTTGAACAGATATTCAATATATCAAGTCCTGTTATAATCTTGAACTGTTTCTCTCATTTTGACTACATGGCTGAACTTTTCCCAGAGAAGAGCTCGCTCTTTACACATCTCACAGGATGGAGCTGAATAGAACCCCCTTCAGTTTTGCCAGTTTCAGAAGTGCAAATGCAACAGCAATGAACAATTCATCGATAGCAGGTCCAAAGTTGTAAAGAGTGGATGCCAATGACAAGTCTTCACTGGGAAAACAAAGCACTGTGGTGAAGCCAGTGCTGGTTACTATAAACTGAACCATGTCTCTGTACAGACTAACTCCAACAGGTCTTTGCTGGCCCTGCTTCAGCAYGCCAGAGTTATTGCTGATCACCAAGTCAGTGGCACTCTCACCCCCACAGCCAATTGTAATACAAGAGATCAAGAAATGTTTTTTTTTGAAAGAAAACAAACAAAACCCCAACCAACAGAAAAAAAAAAMCCAAACACGTAGGCATGAGCAGTTGGACTTTGAAATCCCTGCGCTAGATCCAAGAGTATACCAGTGAGAAGTCAGTAAGTTTCTATTTGTTGAATCCACTGYAATTAAAATCTCAGCCACATACTGAAAAAAAGTGGTGTTTGTTCTGTAGAAAAGGATAGGCTGTGATGTGGTGATTGTCCCATTGAAAAGACTTGCTTGATGCACTGGTAAGGTAGGACAAACTTGTAGGAGGGACAGGAATTTTATTCAGTTATTTTCTTCTTTAAGCAGCAGTTAAGAAACTCTAATCATCTGTGTCATTGCTTCTTCACTGGCCTGAGATGGATCCTACAGATACAAAACACATGTGATGTTGTAACTTCAGCAGTTATGTTCAGCATAACAGTACAGAATCAGGCACAACTCCCTTATCAAAAGACTCCTCTACTCCCTCCCTTGATCCCTGTACACGTCACATCTTAAGCKAGGTTTTACAGAGAAGCAGAAAAGAATTGTTATATAAATCTTAATAAACAACCCTTAAGTATATTGTGAGGAACTGACTGTGTCAGCTGTCCAAAGGACGAAGCTCTAATTACCTGCATGTGTGTGTTATCTTTTTCCTTTGGTGAGAAGAAACGTCCACCTTCTCCCCGCTTCCTCGCCATGGCATGACGATGCCGAGACTCATGCAAGTATTTCTATAACAATACGGAAGAAAAGACTAATGAGACCAGCCTACCATTTCAATACTTCCAGTAAATGAGAACACAGGGAAGTTCCTGACCACTGAAAAAAAATGCCTAGTGTTTATAGTAAATGCCTTTTTGCAATATAATACATAGAGATTCATACGTATATATTCAACAACTAAAAACATGGAAAGCAACAGGACTCTTACTAAGGTACTCAGAGGAAATACTCTGATAAAGATTATGAACAAAAACAAAACAAAAGGACACTTAGATTTTAATTCATTTTTTTCCAGGAGAGCTTTTCTGTCTTTCCCATACAACAACCCTGCATTAGATCTGAATTACAATCTCACCCTTCTCTCTTTGGGAATTTTTCCCTCGGCTTCAAGCTTAGCTCGTGCCTGCCGCCTCTTTAGGATCCGGTGATACTGCTTGGCATTTACATAGAGTGGCTCTTCTTCCAGCATTTCTGCTCCGGGCAGAGGTATTCTCTGGATAGCTGGTACTGACCCAGCTCCAGGTACCATCTGTAAAGAGGAGAATGTTTTTAGTWCTTGTGGCTCACAACATGAAATGCATTCAAAAACTTCTAAATGCAAGAGTAAGTTTAAATGGAAAGTGTATAACTTTTCTTCAGATAATGCAACTCTGCTTTACATTAAAAGCAGTAAGAAAGTTRGTGGCAAACCACGGAATACATTTAAACAAATAATTACACATAACTTGGGCTTACTTTTTTTCTGGTAATGGTAACATATCAATTCAATATAGAGTTCAACGACCACATTACTGCTTCTTGTACATAGGTAAATAAGATATGCCCATTTTCTCCCTTTCTGTCTGTTTAGTTATCACTTATTTCATTTATATAATTATTTTCTAAGCATTTCTTAAGCAAATGTAGCTTATAGAAATGCTGACCTCTAGTGGAGAGGAAAAATGAATATCAAGTTAAAATGGATCTCACTATAAATAAGCACTTGCTGAAAAACCTTAAGAGTCATAAAACCAAATACTAAGGCATCCTCAAAAAAAAGTAATATTTAGTCTTTTCAAATCTCTACTTATTTATTTAGAGCTTATTTTAAATTGCAGTTTCTAGATTTTGCAAGTCCATAATACAGTATAGAAAAACATATAGAATATATATTTTACATTAGGAATAGGTCATTAAAGCTGAAAATATTTATCATTTAAACTTTAAGCTAATGATAGCTGCTCAGGAGGGTAGTCTGTATTAAGCTGATATGGATCTGAAACAATGGTTTATGCACAGGCACCTTCAAGCTCAATCTTTAAACAACAGAAAATTGATGTACCATAACCATTCCCCCTGAATTGACAACATTTCCAGCAACTGGTAGCGTCACTGTCACAGTCCCTTGTCCACTGCTGGTTGTATTGGTGTTGGCTCCCGTCTGGACAATTTGTGCTCCAGCCAAACTGGCTGCTGGGATGGTGATCATGCCTGTAACAGGGACTGTAACTTTAAGAAAAGAAAACATAAAASAAAAACAAAAACAAAAACACGCACACAGAAAGAAGGGAACACCATTAGTCCCACTTCTGTTTTCACTCACTCACCCTTCCATCACATGCAAAAGGATTTTTAAAAGCACCACAAATAATGAGTTGTTACTATTTATTACATCATCTAGCCCTCATACTTGTTTGGGTTTTTTTTTTTTTTGTATCTGTTTTGAATTTTGTCATCTGAGCAGTAATCCCAGCCGAAGAGTAGAGATCACATATTCTAAGGCTTAAAAGCAAACCTAAGCGCTCTTATTCTAATAGCCCTTGCCAAGAAGAGAAGGTATTTTCTCTTTTTAAAAGCTAGCTGCATAACAAGCATTTCTTCTTCCATTCACTTTGTCAATCTTTGGCACTGTCAGTACTGTCTCTCATTTTTTATTTTGATAATATAAGGCAGTAAAAACTTGCAAAACGGGTATGAATAGGTAATGATGTTTTTCCCGCTAGAAATCATCATACCTTGTTGAAGAATGGTTCCATCAGCATTAACTGGCTGATAGACAATGGTCTGGCCTTCAGCTGTTTGCGCTACCTGTTGCCCTTGAACTGCTATTTGTTGCTGTGTCTAAACAAAACAAACAACACAGTAAACTCACAAATTGTTTTTTTTCCCAAATTTTACAATTCCTGTGAATTTATACATAGTGTTCAAGATGTTTCAAGCACTTATTTCTTTTGCTGTATTATCAGCGTAAAGAAATAGGATGGAACACAAATCAACTGAATTGCAGATTAAGTACCTGAACAAACTTATTTTCATAGCTTAGTATTTAATATTAAAAAACAAAACAACAAAAACAAGTCATAGGTTTTGTATCTCACTAAGCATATGTTAAAGGAAGGACTGTTCTGCTCAAAAATTTAATTTTGGTCCTGAACAGCAAAGCAGGTATGACTAGATGATTTCACAAAATGAGAAGCTTAAAATTAGCAGTACTTTATGTCTTTAAACTTCAACATATAAACAGTCATGAACCAAACAGAGAAACCCACTTGATAAAAACATGCAGTCTACTTAGTCTGTCCCAGACTTATGTGTTAAAACACCACAAAAGTATTAATTTTATTCTCAAGTTCTCCTCAATATTAATAAATTCTTTTACTTCCTTTTTACTTAACCATATCTTAAGTTATTTGTCAAGTTTCTCTTCCTATTCCTCAAGAAAATCCTTTCATGCTGGTGCAGTTACCTGTGTCTGGCCAGCAGTAACTGCAGTCTGTGGCTGCTGTATAATGATCTGCTGGGTCTGGCCCTGCTGCCCCTGTACCTGCACAGCCTGCCCACCTTGAATCTGAATCTGACCTGGCTGGACCAACTGAATCTGTGGAAGAAAGAGTCAGAAAGGAACATTAACTATGCCTCTTGTTTCTCCCTCCTTGGCCTCAGCATTACMGAATCATCTCCAAGGATGACATAGTGTTGCCAAGAAAAGGCAAGCACTGGATCTTCTCTTCCATTTTAAATTGGAAAGAGTTCTGATTTATTCCTCTCTGTGACACAGCAATCACTGATACAAGAGCAGGCAGGACCATACAGAATAGAGGAAATATAACATGCTGGTGTCATCAGGCCCCAGCAGTTCTCCACTGCTTACACAATAAAACAGTCAAAGAAATAAATTATTCACATGAAACTAGGAATAACAATACTCAGGTCAAAGGAAGAAAAGAAGACTAAGACTCATATGCCCTTATATAAACAAAATTTTTCTTCAGCTTTGCAGGGAAGATTTTCCACCAATTAGGATTAAAAAAAAACTAAAATATGCGACTTCTGCTTAAAATAAAAGCTCTAAGGTTTCCTCCAACAGACAAGCTGTAGAGAACCTAACACAAAGAACACTGTCTCTATAAGGGAAATATAAACATTCAAATAAGCCTCTCAAAACACAAGACATCATGTGCCTTCCTTGACTGTCCTGAACTTGATTTCTAAATCCCATTCTCAAATAACCAAAACACTTCCATTACGACACTACTGTAGTTCGAGTAACACATATCAAGCACTTGCTTAAGTTAAAAATTGTCCATTAAATGTTTCAAAATAATTAATTAATCCATCACATATTTTTCTAAATCATTAAATAGGAAAGTTTAAATTCAGCTCCATACATGATATTAGATGAACTCTGATGCAAATAAAATTTTCAAGAAATTTTAATTTCAAAAAAGAAAAATAAAAACCTCTTTAGTCAGACACATAATGTACTAGCCAGCTAAATGTGCAAAAAAGGCTCTAGCTGTATTTTAATGGATTTCCTTTAAAAGGTTTGCCATATCTCATAAAATACAGTATCAAATACAAAAGCAAGTTTAGTTTAATTTTTAACATGCAGCTCACTGTGACAGTTGCATAGCTGGAGAAAAATCATCTTTGTCCAGCCTATTTTAACAGTCCCAAGACAAATACACGCTSTCTGGCAAGGTGAGCACTGCATCGCTCATTCTTTGTGAACTATCTTTAATAAAAATGAGAATTAACTCACCTGCTGCAGTCCCTGTGTTCCCGAAACGGGGACTTGCATGATTGTCTGGCCCTGCCCGCCCGGCACAGCCTGCACCATGATGGGCTGGCCAGTCGAGGTGATCAGCTGACCTCCGCTTACTTGGACCATGAGTGGCTGACCCTGCACCTAGAAAACGGCAGAAAAAAGCAAACAAACAATGAAAAAAAGTTTGATGACACGTAACCAGAAACAGCAGTGACTGCCACCTCAGGCTGAATGCTTACCTATTTTAATGCAGTGGCCACTCAGCAATAATCACTAAACTGGATTCATAATCAGCATAAAATATCTTTAATTGTTGAAACGTTCTCTGTGTTATGCTGTTGGATTCTGTAAGCTATCTTTTTCTGCCACAGTATAATGAAAACTTTCAACCTTTGCAACAAAGTATGTAATACACATATAAACTGTCTAGATACAGTAACTCTCTTCATGCACAGCCTGAGAGTGAAGCAAAGTAAAAGAAATTTCATTATCCACAACACTATTAGAAATCTTCAATTGGGTTTCTTAATGAGAAAAAGCTCTAAGTAAGTTATCCTGAGAGAGATTCTGAAGTAGTTCCAACTCCCTCCAATTATATTCTTACATTACCATTCCATAACTGATATAGGGCCTGTGATGTTCTTAAAGGATCTTTTCATGGTTATGAAGTTATTAACACGACAGCACAAACTGTAGTTCAGTAAGGGTTAAAAAAGTCTCTCTTTTTTTTCTACCTGAAAACCTCAAGAGTATATACAATAATCAAAACTGATTCCGTGACCCACCCCGTTATAGAACCTTCATTACTAACCAAAGTTTACTCACGAATCCACCACCATTAGGTTGGTTCATTAAATTAAACATCAGTACAAATTTTCAGTCCATACTGAATTACATAAAATAAAGCTTCACTTTCCATAGGTCAAAACCCATAGTGAGTTACATGCTAACAAATCTAAAGAAACCACCATAATGGTACTTAAATAATCAAAGCCCTAAAGGGAATATTGTGTCTTTACAGGTCATCTAATACGCCTGCTAGACGGTTCAGTTCTGCCACTAACATAATTGGTAGTACTTGTTTTGAATTACAACCGAAGTAGAGAGACACAAGCATGCTCATGTCAGCCACAAAGCAGCACAGTCAGCAGTGCAATATCCAATAAGTAGAAAGGAAATGATCAATTCCGGGAATCTTGTTAATGTGTTAGAGCAAGCAAAAGGGGAAAGCAAACATTGCAGTATGAGACTAGGAGGCCACAGAGCCCAAGCAATCCAAGTCAGCCATTTTTTTCTATTTTAACTCTGAACATAAAAAATGCTGTGTTTAGTTCCACATCTGGCAAGACCATTCTAGCCTCTCAGAACTTCCTTCTTCTAAAGAGTTCAAAAATCAAATACACAAATAAAAACAAAATATCAAGTGAAGAAAGCTCTATTAAATCGCTAGAATTGTCCAGACCTTCTCAACTCCTTTGAAAGCTTCCTGCATGATCTAATGAGATGAAGTTTGCAAGAGACAATACTTACATCAAAACAAATCAGGGTTTGAAATAATCCTGCCTTTCTTTCCAATCCATAACATTTACTGTTACGATAAATGACTCTCCTGGATTTTCCTGTGTTACCTGAACTAYAAGTAAGAAATCAGGAATCTCAATCCCACAGGATCTAATAAGGCCCTCAACTGCCCTTTATAATCAGAGATGAAGATTCACTCTTCAGGATGGTGGTCCCCCACTGTATCCCTGGCTTCTTTCCATCCAGTATAGATACAAAAAGCTTATCACATTGGATAGTAGAAATCCCTTATTTTTGAAATTGTACAAAAGTCTGGGGCTGTATCTCTTGAGTTACCGCTCTGGACTACAGGATGTTACTTCTGTTAGATTCCATTTCAATTCACTTTCATAATTACAGCAGCAGAAATTGATGAACGCATTAGGGTTTCTGACTTCCATTTGAGATCTGAAGAAAACCTATAACCTCTTCTTCAAGAACAAGCAACTAGCACAAAAGCACAGCTGCTTTAGGCCACAAATTTTCCTGTCCCTATTTCAAACCCTGGTAGAAACACAGCATTAGATATGTGGTGATGGGGAGAGTAGTCATGCAGTGCTCACAAACACAATTAGAGAGATCACCACTACCTGGAGGGTCTGGACTTGCTGGCCTGAGGCGGATGCCACCTGGGCCTCAGTCTGCAGCTGGACAGCAGTGACACCACCCTGCTGCTGGGAATAGGAACAGGAATAGCTTGAAACACGCAAATGCACAGCTCAGAGAAGAGACAACCACACTTTGCTGCATGAGGATGGATTTAAAATGCACGTAATGCTGCTCTTGGAACATAAGGTACATGGATATGTTTAGCAAACTAAGAATGGAATACCAGCAAAACTGCGTACGCACACTGACACCTGCAACAGCCCTAAACAAAGATGAGTTACAAAGAATATGACTGAACTTTTCTTTTTGAATTTAAAACCTTTGCTTCACTGTTTTAGAATGCGATCTTTCCACTTAGGCTTCCTCTTCACTGTCTGAGCTTCTTATGGTGAAGGGATTCCAGGTTTCTGACCAGTGAGGGCCAAAAATTCCTTCGTGTGCAGAACAGTAGCACAGATAACTACAGACTGAGCTTCGTCTGTGTAACCCTCACATCAAAATATTCCACTACTGACCTTGAAGGACAATCTTGAGAATTTCAAAGAGCAGTTAAATCTGAAAGCCTAGTCTATCTTTAGCCTCTTTAGTAAGAGTACCAAAATAATCTGTTAACTACGTTAGCATTTGGGGAGATGAAGGACGTCTGTAAAAGCTGAACTACAATTGGCTGATTCGAAAGTTTCTCTTGCACTGCAACACAGGAGAGCATTTGAGAACACATACTGAAAATTCAGCAAGTTAAGGTATGTTTTTACCTTCCATCTACTTAAAAATACTTGTAAAATCAAATACCTTATCTTTGGTCACCTGCTAAAGGCAGTACCAGAATTTTTGGYAATTTTAACTTGTTATTTTTTAAACTCAGCTATAATCTTGCTCTTGCCAAAAGAGTCAACCTCCTCTAAATTCAGTGGGAAAAGAATGTTGGTCACAGCCTGTTCCCATCAAACCCTCAAACAGAGTGATAACAAAGCAAACATATCATCTTACTGCAAATATAACCTACAGTGTCTCATTCATTTGCATGGCTTAAACAAAGACATTCTCTGAATTAAACCATGAGATGTAACAAACCAAAAGAACTATTCTTTTCCACATATCGCTGAAAATTTATGAAGTCCCTACTCCACCAAAACTTGATAACTTACATACTTACAATTCTATTAAATTAATTGAGATTAAAAACACATAGATCATTGACAAAGACCACTGATCAGGTAACATAAACACACATGCAGCTCGCATCATGAAGCATCCTACTGGCTCTGTGGAATATGGACATATGAACAGGAAAAAAAAAAAGGACAGAAAAGTCTATAGCTAAGCACTGGGAATGCCAGCTCAGCCATTCCAATAACCTTCCATACCTGTTGCTGAATCTGCCCAGCCTGCACAACAATCTGCTCTGTGGAGCTGTTACTATTTGCTGTGTACTGCTCCATTGCTCCTCAGTTGAGCCGCTCTACACAGCACACCTCAGTCTCCAATTCTGGCAAGAGAAGAAAAAAAAGGCATGCGATTATTTTCCCAAGGTTTCGAGGTTAGTATTATCTTAGAGTACCTGAAAAGCAAACCATCGAGGGATGTTGAGATGTCATGYTTTGGTCAAACCACACAGCATGAGCCGCTCTTTAGTCAAGGACCTATCTCTATCATAACAGCCCCTAATTTAATTCCGGTAGCACATAACTTGTCTGAGCATCAGACACGGCCTCAGGGTCGCTCTGCCAGTAATCTTCAGCAGATCGAATAGTAGAYGTACCTCTTTCTGCTCTGTGTCTGCGTTCTCTCGCGTGTTCTGTGCTACGGGCAGTTGCCTGCTCTGATCTGGGGGAGAAGGGGTGTCCTCCAAAAAGCTCTCAACATAGAAAGTGCAAAACCAAGCAATATTTCAAGAATTCAACGAGGCTAAGTGAAATTGTCCCTCCTTCCCAACTATGCAGTGCTCCTTCCTTGGGGCTCTCTCTTCTCCTCCCACTTCTGCAGGATTTGAAAATAGCCAGCAGACTTCTCACTGCTTCCATCCTTTTCCTACCTCTCCTGTCTTGGACCCTTGCCTAGACATATGAAAAACACACTGCTGAAATAAAATAGTCAGTTCCATTACCTTACTTCCCCACATTTCTTCTTAGTTGATCAACAGAGTTCTTACCATTGCTTTTAATGAGGGCTTTGTTTTACGTTACAACTGAAAATGCACCTCGTTAYACTAGTGAAAAAGCAGTCTGTGACCTTCGTCTTCAGAGCTTAAGGCAGAAAGAAAATTTTAAAAGAAATGTACCTAAGCCTCAGTCACAACTTCCACTAACTGTAGTAGTTTTGTGGCTACTACTGTAACAACRCCACTCATATATCCTGCTCTTTAATTTAAATTATCCTCTGTGCTTAAGTGTTTTGCATTCATCTTAACTTKWTTTWSSWAAAWMAAGTTATTTCTCACTGTGAGCTAGCAAGAGTATGTTTTCATTTTATTTAGTTGTGTGTTAACTCTCTGAAGTCCTTCTATCGAGGTCTCCATKGTGCACAGCGCACTTAATCTCTCCCCTAGAAGCCTGCTAGCCTGTCAGCAGCGGCTCCCACATTTCCTTCGGCGTGGAAGCGTTCCAGCAGCAGCAAGTGCCAGCTGCCGCTAAAGGAAGGGGCCCGAAGCTCCCTGCTTTCCCTAACCCCACAGCCCGGAGCTGAGCGCAGGCCCCGGCGCGCTCCTCGGAGCCGCGCACAAGGGGCCGCCGGGCTCCCTTCTCACGCCGCTCGCGCTGCAGTGGTTCCMGTGCCACATGTATGTTGTGCATACGCGCACACACGTTACACATGCACGTTAACGCGCGAGGCACGGCCAGGGCGCTCGCGGCAGGCCGGGCTCTGCGGGCCGGGCTGCGCGGACAGCCGGCCCCGCGGAGGCGACGCGCGCTCTGCTCTGACCTCCTGCGCGGCCCCGAGGGCGCCCGGGGCCGGGAGTGATTTCTCGCCGGCGGGAGGTCGCTGGCAGCGGCCGCGGGC